TCTCGCGCTTGCCAAATGTGGCTTAAGTGCCACCATTCCTTTTTCTCTCCACCACCAGATCGCTCCACATCACGATACATCGCATCGTCTGAGACAACGTCGCAGTTGGCGACTTCTACCGGAATACCAGCAGGACATGCTTCATTTCAGACAGCTCGCTTTCCTTTATCCGCGTGACCCGCCACTCACAAGCCTCGCTGAGTTCTCGGCCAAAAGGTCCTCCACCATCCCACATGACACTGTCGTCGCGTGTGTTGTGGGAGCAAGATACATGGGTTGCGCTCCGAAAGAGATGAATTTCTTGGTTCGATACCACCACATCCCGACCAGTTCTGTTTATCCATTTAGCCAAGATTTCGATCGCGCTGTCCTAACCATGATAGTCCGTCTCTGTTAGCAAGAAACCAACGGGACGGCGTGTCGCGGACTGATTGGGCACGTCGACATCATATGTCCATACGAGTGCGAATGCGTCAGCCCTATGCCTCTTCTCTGACCAAGCAGTAGCCGATCCACTGCAGGAGTTTGCTCCGCCACAAAACACACGATCAGCATGAATGCAGACTTCCATGCAATTTGAGTATCTCCTTTGTTGAGGCTGCGATTTGGCGTAAACACGATGGAGGCCTGATCACGTTTCATGGAAGCCGAATCATCGTCGCTTACAAAGGACTCTGCGCGTGAATCAGACGTGCAGCTAGGTTCTTAGCCTCCTGGATTTCGAATTTGATGCAGGTGTAAGTTCACGGGGTGTAGGAGTTGTTTTGCATGAACTCTGGCACACAGCCTCGATGGATACCTTGGGCACGCACAGGCAGCTGCGCCGCAGAACACCCGCTTGGTCAGCTCATCTTCACGATGATCATACTGGTGGCCAGTCCTCTCTACAGCGGGCGCGTTTCGACTTATGCAAGGTGGTGGTCATAGCAGGAGGGAAGGTCGACGTTTTACAGGCGTCTTACCTGTTGCGATCGGACCATGGTGCTCCGCCAAAAATAGCACCCGTTCCTTCGTCGGTAACGCGTACCCCAGAGAAAGACCGTTGCCAGCCAAGCAGATCTTGCAAGGGCCACTTTCACTTTGACTGCTCGCGAGCATGGCTGGAGCGATCATTCGACGTTATGCGGGATCTGCAGAACTCCTTGCCTTATCTCGCGTCCACATGCGTCTGAAAGATGACGACAGACGTGAGCAACAAGCGCCTAACACGCTACCACGCGTAACGCGCCATTGGTGGCTTTCCGCCGAAACGAACGCGATGTGCTGTAGCAACAGAACTACCGATGCGGCCATCGCGATGGTACCTGTTGTTGCTCACGGAACTGACTGCGAAACGCCTCAGGCTGGCTTTTTAGTGTTGGTTGTTCGATGTGTCTTACAGGGCCACCCTACTTCTTTGAGCACTGCCACCAGAACGGCACTTTTGCAGGAACGCATACTGCGACGAATTTCGGGCCAATGGCCGAGTGCGAACTTCTCTTACAGCGCGATGGATCGTAGATGGTGGGGGTGAGGAGTTGGGATTATGTCACGTCTGATGCAAGCGACGGCTCCAGATACCTTTTACGCGTTCGACAATGAGGTGGAGCGGTACGACAGCTTTCAGATGGCGAGCAGATGCACGTTTCATGTGGTCTGCTGAATTACCCCTGAGAATGCGGCCCTAGGTTAGTAGCGCTGGGGGTCCCTGCAGCGCCGGCGCGGCGATCTCCCTTAGAGCATCGTGAGGCTCGACGCGTTCAGAATTTGAGATCGCGAAAGGAGAGATCACCATGGACAATATTGATCACTAGAGGGAGTTGCTGCAGCGCTGGAAACTCTCCGTGCAATAGTCGCCTGCTCTAGTACCAGACTGGTGTGGAGGCATGCATGCCTGGGTGCCTGCATGCCAAGGCAGCCTCTTAGTGCCCTCTTGAAACCCGTGAAACAGACCACGGATGTTGCTCTTCTAAACAAGAGCCGTCCGTCTCCGCCCGGAAATTGGACGATCAATGTCTTCCTGGCGGCCTAAGAACTGAGCTTATACCCATCCGTATACCGTCAAAAGCTTCTCGAACGCTTCCATTTCGCGCGCACTCGCCCTCCCTACATAGTAACCACAGCTCTGCCCGCCCAAGACGGACCGTGAACCACCAATCTCCGGCATGATACTGGCGATTGCGCATACATCGAGATAACATGGAGGCCGACGACGCTCAACTCTACCAATTCAGCACCCCTCAGCAGAGCAACTCGTTCAAGCGCGCGCGGCGCAGTCTACAAAGCTCCACGCCCTTGAGCAGCGTGACCGAGAGTGTCACTTCTTCCCCCCGTCACTCTGGCCAGAACCAGTTGGCACCTCAGCTCTTTGACCATGTCAATGCGCTGAAGCATCTTGATGACCAGCAGATCCTCCAGCTACTTTCCGTTGCGCGCAATGGAGGTCAGTCAACGTTCAGCCCTGGCGGCGCGTTGTATGCTCACGCGTATCCAGATGGTATGCGTCGGTCGGGCGCCGACCGATCGTCCATGTCGACCGTCGGGAGCCGCGCGTCATCATACCTGAGTGTACCATCCAGCAGAGTACCCAGCATGCTCTCGGACCCGCGCTCGTCCATCGCGTCTACCGACTCGTCCTTTACACACTACAGTGCCGCATCCTCGCGCCTGTCGACCGCATCATCTCGTCTCTCCACAATCTCTACCACATCGACGCCCGCGCCCAAGAACTTTGCCTGCACATTTTGCGACAAGGCTCTCAAGTCGAAGCCATACTGGAAGTCGCACGAGGAGGAGTTCCACGAGCAGCGACTTACCTGGAGATGTCCCGACTGCGAGCAGATCTTCCATGCTGGCAAGCGCTTCCGTGAGCATCACACCAAGCTACACGTACGTCAGCATTACCCTTCATCTAGATTCAAGGCTAACAATTTACAGGGCTGTGAACACTGCAAGCAACCGAGGGAAAGCGGTCAACCCACGAGCAGGAAAGCATCGCCATGCGTCAAGAAGTACGAGATCGTCATGCACGACAAGGACGCCTGGGGTTGTGGTTTCTGCGCTTCTCTTCTAACCACCTGGGAAGAAAGATGCGAACACATCGCTCTTCACTTTGAAGAGAAGGGCGGATCCAAGTGGAACTTCACCAACGTCATCCTCGGTCTGCTGAAGCAACCCGAACTCGCCAGCGCATGGAACCAAATGATGCTCGATCGCCATGGCGACGAATCAAACTGGCCGTCGCTGGCGTGGGAGTCTAAAAAGTGCAACCGCTTACGGTATAAGCTCGAGACCAAATGGGATACACGCGTTTTCGACATTGAGAAGTTGGTGCAGGACACCTACGACTTGGCCGAAATCGAGGTGAAGGACGTCGTCGAACCCACGACTGAACTCACGCCCGAAGCTCCGGAGTCCCTCGACAACAGCCAAGGCGAAATCGTGGAGTTCAAGTTGGAGTCGAATGACTTCATGACGGACAACAGGTTGCATAGCTCCCACGGCCTACCGTCCGATAACAGGCTCCACAGCTCGCACGGTCTGCCGTCTGAGCATATGATGATGGACATTGACTCTGTGGAGCCCCCACAGATGCATCATCAAGATATGCAACAATCACAATGGCCGGTCAGCCAGGACATGCACCACAGCATGAGCGCGGCAACCGCCATGGGTGGCTTCGGTGCTTTCGATACCACCATGACGTCGATGCCAACGGACTTTTCGCAACCGATGGCGCAAAGCTTTCAGCCACAGCAGCAAAGCTGGCCAAACGCCGGCTTCGCTTCGACTCCCGACCTGCTCAGCTACCAACAACCAGCGCCATACATGGACTACCAGCAACCCAAGGAGATGGTCTCTGTACCCACATCGCAGTACTCCAACTTTGCGCACTACCCCCGCCAAAGCCTCCCACCAAACTTCTTGCAGCAGCAACAGCAGCAGCACCAACAACAACAACAGCAACAGGCGCCCAGCACGCCAACTTCTCGTCGCTACGTCCCCAGACTAATTAATATTTCGAACAACTCGAGCCACCGTGGCGTTCAACTCGAACAGCCACCGCCGCCACCACCCAAAGACGAGCACCAAAACCGCTTCTCCCGTCTCATCATGAGACGGCGCCCAAGCAACATCTCCCAGCACAGCATCGTCTCGCACCGCGATATGGGCGGAACCTGGGGCGACGATTCTAACTGGGGATAACTCTGTTTCAGCACTCTCTCCACCGCGCATACACGCACATAATACCACCTTTTGCACCCTCGGCTGGTCCGACCACGCACACTCTCCTTAGAAACAAACAAATAAAGCACCGCAACAGGTGACTCCGAACCTCGCTATTCGTCCCTGGGTCCTGGCTCCGCCCTGCACCCCTCGACGAAGCGAGCTACACGACACCTCAACGGAGATAGTACCCACACAAGCAGCTTCATCAGCGCTTGCCACTTGTTTTTCCTTTATCATTTCCTTTCTCCTTACGTATACAACAGTGTTTCCAGCGGGATGGGATGAGGATATACCCATATATGCAGCGACTTGCCTTTTTTCCCACCCTGTTTGTTGTCGCTGTTTCGCCGCAACATAGTTTAGTGTCTTTGTTGAGAGTTTCAACTATCTTTGCTTGCATGCACATGCACCTAATACCCCCGCACCTCTTTTTTCATGTTGCCATTTGGTTGCGACGCGATTGATGTAATGACGGGGTTTGGAATGAAATATCTAGGATAGGGAAGGAAGAATGGGATGGACAGGGCAGATACCATATAGAGTTACTTCAATGTGCTTGTTAACTTGTTTCATACGTTGACTTTTGACTGGCTGGGTGATGTTTCGTGTTACTACTGTGCTTCATACGTTGAATTTTGAAAGGGTTGGTGATGCCGTCTCATGGCACTGTGGAAGAGACATAACGTTGCAATAGTTGATGTCAATGTAAGGGTATCGATTGTATTCTGCAGGTCTTACATTTAGTGCCTCTGTATGCTATGCCGCCCATGTAAACTCCACGATCCGCTCTCCTATACCGCACGTCCACCCATGTACCCCTGCATAGACTCGTGCTGCTCAGAAACGCAGCGGAAGCACAACCAATTCTTTTCGTGGAAGAGATGGCCGGCCAGCTTTTCATCCGCAAATGTGGTAGCTGCGTTCTTGACCTTGGTGTTAAGAGAAAGATAACTTGTTCCACGAGCAAGGCCATTTCCGAAATTAGCCAGATCGATAACCATTGACGCGTGCTTCTTTCGCTGAGATACTGGCACCTTGAAGGCGCATAGCACCCTCTCGATCTGCGCCTGGAGGATGGCAGGCTGAGCTTTCAAAAGCCCAGAGATGCGCAAAGTCCCGTGCTTCAGCTGATCGAAGACGACATGGGACGTCCCCGGAGCAAAGTCCTTCTTGAGGGACCTCACGATCTGGATCGTGGACTTGCGCTTTGGCGCCACGACCTTGTCGCCCTCGGGGTCGTTCTTGTTGCGGGAATCAGAGGTCGAAGCCTGCGTTGTAGGCTTCACGGGCTCTTGAGGCATGGCGGTTAACTTGCTTGAAGCTGATGTCTCCGCCCGGCTTGCTTCAGCCTCCTCCACCAGTCGATCAACCTTGGCTTGTAGGCGGCTCATGGCCCCCATCAACTCCTCGACTTTCGCATCAGCCTTGATACGCGCAGCCCTCTCCTCTTCCAGAATGCTCAAGATCATCTTCAGCTGACTCTTGTTGGGAGAGGGCGCCAGATCAGTCTGAGTGGATGTGGACTTCGATGGGACGGAGTCTAGAGAGACCGCCAGTGACGAAACGATCTTGGGAGGGGAACCATCTTTGCTGATGAAACTTGGTGATGATGGTGAGGGAGTCGAAGTGTGTCGTAATCTCTTCTCCTTTGGCTCGGCCGACAAGCTAGGCTCTAGTGTTGAAGGAGCTGTGAATGATGTTGCAGAAGCACCAAAGTCGAAGATAAGCTTTGGTGCTGGGGCCGGGGACATCATCTTCGCAGATGCGGTATCAGGAATTGGGTTTGCAGCAAGACCGCCAGGCGCCAATCCGTCATTAGGCTTCCTGGAGCGCAACCCTTTTTTCAGAGGTGCCAGCTTCCTTTCTGGTCCTTTGGCTTCAATGGACGGGAAAGGCTTGTCTGCAGGCTTCGTCTCCGTATCAAACTTGCTGAAGATGGACGCACCATCGGGTCCGACAAAGGGGTTCGCTGCCGCTGATACCGTTGGAAAGCTCATGGCTATGCCAGGCAGCTGGGTCATGGAAGCGCCGTCAGGTGGCGAGACGACAACCTCGGGAATGTTGTTATCTTTCTGGACAGATTCTACAGTGATAGCTTCTAAGGCAAGGTTCGTCTGAGGTGGCAGCGGACGAGCGGGAGTGGTGTTGGGTGTAATGCCTTCCGGGTACTTTGTAGCGTCCCTTAGTAGCTCTGAGAACTCTCGCCACTCGCCGGGAAGATCGTCACGAATTATCTCGAGCCTCTCAATGAGATCTGAACACACTTGGTGATAGTCTGTTATATCCGTCCTATTTTCCCATGTTGACTTCTCGAGTCCCCTGACATATGCACGGAGAGCCTCGTCAGACAGGATGAGCGTCGGCTCGGGACAGTCGCTGGGGACCTTGTTGCGACACTCGATCACGAGATCAACTATTTTCCGCGCATAGTTCTGGCGATCTTTTGCTTGACTGGCTCTGTCGCTCATGGTGTATGTCGGGGTAAAGGTCGGCTGTCTGGTAGCGTCAGGTAAAGGTGGATCGTTTGGTATAGTTGAGGTAAAGGTAGACTGTTTGGTGTCGTGAGTCCGAATTTCTGCACTTGAGGTGGAAAGGATGGGTTATTAAAGAAGGAGAGCTGTACCGTGCAATTATATAGTATAACGCGGGGCTGTGACCTCGAAGTGAATTGGAGTATTTACGCCTTGGCGCTGAGTCGTTGCGCTGCACAATAGCAGATGCTGGTATTGTCGCTGAAGCTCAAAGGTGTCGCAGAGTGCGCTATTAGAGGCAGTGTCGAGCAGTATTACTGGTGAAGGTGGACTTGTGAGAGATTGACGAGACTTGTTGCTGGACGCAGCGGGGGTTGCGGTGATTTGGAAAGAGGGAAGTTTGAGCGCGGGCGGGGAATACAGAAACGCAAGTGCGAGTAACTACTAGCGCTATCAAAAAGCGCACAGGCTATGCGGTATACGTGAGCAGAAACGGGTGGAGCGCGTGACGGGCATTGGCCAAGACGCGTTTGCGCCGAAGGCCTTTCACTACGTCTAACGCAAACCACAGATCTTCCGACTGAGCATTCTGGCTCCTGAATGAGACCGTGACGCCGAATACCAGCAATATCTATTGGGTCTGTACGAGTATTCGGAGTGACACCGACTTTTGAGGCATTCACTGCTAAGAGTTTGTCCATCAGTGTTGTTTGTCGGTGACGCAATGAGCCTCGAAAGCGCAGAATGCGACAAATATTTGGAGAAACTCCGCGTGCGTTTCTTGACTGGGAGATATATCCGCAAGTAATACCAGATCTGCTCTTTCTAGTGATGTGAACGTAGTTGCTTACATGCCATATGTACGGACCTCCAGGAGCCTGGGGACAACAGAGGAAAATGGTGCAATGCCATTGAGAAGATGAGAAAACATTTCCCATACATGGAAACAAACATCGAGAGATATCCGAGTACAAGGTTCTTGGATCTTCTACCGAAAGCTCTGTTGTGTTATCTCGTCCTTCATGGTGGGCGTTTGTGTTGGGACGTTAATATGCACGTTGTAGTAGCGTGAGTGATGATCTAGACACATCAGCGTTCGATGCGTGTGCAGAATCAAATGGAGAGGCCAGGCATTCATGTATGCGACGCGATGGTGAAGAGGAAGGGAAGAAAGGGCTGGCTTTGAGGTTGGACCAGGCTGGCCCCACTTCGGACGGACCGCTCCGACATGAGCCCGCCAATCGCCCAGGCCACGGAGCGTCTGGCGTCCTTCAGTTGCCAGGCTAGGGTGAGGTGTTCGCTTGTAGATGACTTGGTGGTTGCTCATTCTGAGTAATAATCGCCCTGTGCGACATTTGCATGCGTGAACTGCGGCGCACGACGTTTAAACTCGCAAGGTCCTGCCTGGATGATGACACCACGGCAGGATTGGTCAATTCGGCTTGCACGTACACTTGGGGTAAGATCGAGTCAGATCGCGTGCAGGTAATCTGCGTGCCGTTGATGACAGCGGGAGCGATGCGAATAGCGCACTTGTTCGAACTCATTTCCGAGTGCAGAGAGCATAAGTTTTCATAGCGAATGATCGGCATTCACCGGAGTCGTTCCGGCATCACTAGTATATCATTCATTCACACTTCCCGATTTCAATAGCTTTGGTGCCCTGGTGGCGGCCATCAGCACTAAATATGTGGCTAGATCGTTCCATGCTACAAGAGATTGTCGTAAGCGCACACCATATCCTCTAGCTCGTGCTTTCTCCCGAGCAGGTACGCACGATATAAGCAGGTCGACGAACAGCGAAGGCAGAACCAGAATCTGCGAAAGTAGCAATATTAGCGAGGCTATTCCAATCCGAGTCTCACATGCGATGAGAACTCGCAAGATCGACTTACGCAGCAAACATTGACAGTCCATACGACCATCTCATGAGCTCGCAACCGTACAGGTTCTCCTTCCATGCCTCCGCACACCCGCGTTCGAGATACCAAGGCCGGAGACTGATATGCTCTGGATCCGAAAGGTCGCCCGAGTTTTGGATCGAGGCACTATACATCCACAGCCCCGCCAGTATGATATCGTACAACGCGTTGACCGTGATCGTAGAGTGGAAGTCGAGAGTTTGCTTGCTGAAAGACATGATTGAGAAGCGGACGAGCCACATGAACAGGGTTATGATGGCAATGCATAGGTTGCATAATGTACAGCTGGTTGAAGTATTAGACCTTCAAATGGCTGCTGTATTGAGGAGGTGGGAGGATACCTTTCATCCCATATCAATGGTATGGGTGGTGATTTGCGATAGTTCGCATAGTCGTATACACGTTGGATAGGATCGGAGTTCCAGCCTTTGGTGCCGCCTTCTTTCCATAGTATGCTGCGGAAGCGATCGGGGTATGCAGTCGCAAAGAGAGATACGAGCGCGATGGCTAAGATGAGATCAAATAACGTGGCAGTGAGAAAGATCAGATAGGGATTGCGGAGCATGGTGAGCGGTATAACGATTGACGAGCGACCAAGCCCGACTGCCAGTTTCACTGAACGACATAGGAGCCGTGCAATGGGATTGTTATGTCGACTCAGTGATTGATTTGACAGAGAACGTGCGCTAGCGCGATGTCAGCTCAGTTGTGGTTGTCTCAGGTGCTCAGCGCCACCCCATTCAAGGAAAAAATGGAACACCCTGGAGCTTACATGGACGCTACGCCTCCATATGTGCTCATCGTTGGTCTAATGTAGGCCCTAGGCCTGTTCGGTTTTGTATAAGGTGAGCGCGTCGTGACAGCGGCAAGATTAGGAAGAGAGACATCGAGTCTCCGTCGATCGTCAAGCCTATCAGCACCGAATACAGGCAGCGATGTGGAGTGAGCTACAGTTACAGCAATGCCTTAGCCTGTTCTCTTTGCATTAGCTTGTTATCCAGTAGGGAAGAATGCCAAGCAAAGTTGCGCAAATGGCCTCATTCCGACCCTCGAGAAGACACACCTAAACTAATGCCAACATGATGTTGCGCAATTAATGCGATTGAAAAGGTGCGCCCATATGCGCCTATTCCCATGTACCACCTCTTCTCTTGTGTGAGTGGAATGGCTTGCCACATGCACTGACACAACGTGTATGTCGAGTGGGAAACGAGAGCATCATCAGATCCTGCAGTGTATCGCAAAGCAAGTTGGTCGTGTATGCTCATTACATTATGCATGCGCGCATAGATTCTGCGCTTGTCTAAGCCATGGTGATTAATGCTCACCAGCTCTCCTGTCTTGCGACTAATCATCTAACTCTTACTTTGCTCTTCAAGCTCTCTTAAGTCTTATCAACCCCATCTATGATCCTCACGGGCCTTGCCGTAATCGCTACCTCGGTACTTTTCTAACGGACAGCATCGTCATCTGCGTTTCCTCACATCGTTTCCCTTAGTAATGCCCCTTCCGTCGGAAGCTCACTGCTTGAGAGCTGAGCCGACCATGAGTGTGAGTTGAGTGTAGTAGCTGGCTCATCGAGTCTTCTCTGCAGGTGCATACCTCCTAACGGCTCTTCATAATCGGGATCTTTTGGCAGATACCACATCGCGAGTCCAGCTTGGTATAGTGGAGGCAGCGTGCCGAGGCGAAGATTGGGCTCGGGGGCCATGATGGCTTGGGCGTTCGTGGGAGGATGGTGTTGGTGGCTTGAGGCGTGTGGGCCAAGGATCCATCCGTGGATCACGTTCCGGTAGTGTGACTGTGACGTCAGATGCGCGTCCTCCCGCAGCGGCACGACTGTGCCACATGGACGTCGAGGACAAGTGCGCGCATGTCCGAAGTGACACTTCCCTCCCACGTCGTACAATGAAGCACCGCACGTTTTCCAAGAAGCCACCGTCCTATGCGCCTGCTTCATGCATCGCTGTGGGCTAGCCATCTCGACTCTGCGTCCCAACAACACACTCATAACCGATCAAGGTTATACTCTTTCGTAACTTTGATTTCGTTCAGCCCCAATGAGCCCAGTCTCTCCGAAGGAGCCGATTCATTGCTCAGCGTGACGAAGGCAGCCGCCTGCGGTTTGATGCCTGGCATCCATTGCGAAGGAGGTGCGTTGAGATTTGATGTCGACGAGCCGTTGCTCTGTGTGCGGAACTTCATCCGGCGGAGACCGATACCGCCATCCTCAGTCGGGAGTGGAGGAGTTCGGCGCCACGAAGGAAGTGAACGGACGTTGGGAACGCAACAGCAGACGATACCGACAGCGACCTCGATTGGGGAAAAGCAGATACGCCACCACGACGCACCGATCGGATCATCATTGACGTTGCCGAAGACGTCGATCGCGCAGTCGATACGGAGGACTGCTAGGATAGTACAACTGTGTGGTGTCAGCAAGAGCTATTTGGAGCGAGCGCTTAGCTTCACGTACAAGCATCCAAGGAGGAACAAGACCATCACCCACGCCTTCTTCTTGCCTGAGAGATCTGCTGCTGCTATGGCAGGTATCGGGGCAAAGAGGATGACACTGTTGAAGAAGACGTGCAGCGATCCAATGATGATGCACGACTTCTTGCTCTGCAGCTTGCACTCCCCCGGTGGATGGCACATGCTGATCCAACCCGCGAGCGACCAGATGTACCAGATCGCGATGAGCGCCATAGACGCATAGCAAGCGATGCGAGCAAAAACTCTCTTCTCGTACAGGCGTAGGTAGGATTTCGCAAACGCTACCTGCACCGTTGCAACCGATGTGGCCCAACAGATATCCAGTGCGAATTGTATCTTGAAAGCCTGTTAGCCAACTCTCAAGAAGCCTCCAGCTAAACATACCCGCAGCCAGAAACGCTCCACAACGTCAAAGTTCTTCGTCGGGTCCGCCTGAATCTCATAGCTCGTAAGCCCTTCTCCGCCGAGGAACACCAGCACGTAAACTAGCGTAACCACGACAAAGCTCATAGCCTACGACTGTTAGCATGGTACCGCCGTCAGCATTCCATCGTCTTACCAGAGCAGCCAGCATCAGCGCATCTTCGTTGATCGTGTTGACCCGTCTGACACTCCTCGTGTACCATCTCGCCGCCACCGCTGCCGCAGCCACCGCAAGGCATAGTGTAGGCGCAATCAACAACGCAAGCTGCTTGCCATTGACAATGTCGAAACGATCCGATTGCTTCCCCGCCATGATCAATACTATCCAGCTCTTCTTCACTTCACCGCATACCGAGCGCACATCAAAGCCAAAGTCGTCGAAAGAGAGGGGCGTAACTGGAACCAGGATTAAAATGCCCCGAGCGGAGCGAGTGAACGTAGATAAAGCCAAAGAGGCGATCCTCCCAATTGCCTGGTCCAGAGCACAGAGCTGTCATGCACTATGCTCGTTGAGTCCGCCGTCTTCAACGCCTATCTCGCGTCACCCAGGGTGCCTCAGCCGTGCGGCCCATGCGACAAGTGTACTTGTAGTGTTGGCCTTTCGGGAAGCAAGACCTAGTCAGGGAGCGCGGCGGGGCTCATGCTGTGCGCCGCTGATTTGTCGCACATCTGACGGTCCGACGCGGAACACGGCTAACCTGCATGCATCCCTGCCAGCCATATACCTGTGACCCAATGAAAGCTACCACACCAGCAGGCCCTCCGTTCATGGGGGCTTGCGCTTCCGGGGCACTGATGCGGCTAGCATGAGCTATTGCAGACAAAAAGCAATATAGCAAGCTGGCAATCCTTTGCCGTATTCTGGTAGGTTTCGTGATGATAGTTTCACTTCCCTCGAGGCGATCGGCTAGCAAAAGAAAAGTAACTCAACGCTATGGGCGATCCGCGCATATGTCTGCATCACGACGTGCGGGGTTGCCGAAGCTGAACACCCCCGAGGCGACGGTTGGCTTCCCCTATCGATCACGCAGCCCCCATGCTCATCACCGCGAACTGAAACAAGCCCGCCGCGTCGGCCGTTCTTCGTCGCGTGGTCTGCCAGGTCATGGTTCCGGCACAAGCGAGGTGGCGCCCTTCTATCGTGACCTAGAACACAAACTCCACCTACCAACAAGCCTAACAAGATTGTAACTTTGCTTCTCGAGATTCCCGGCACACGTTGAGACAGCATTCATGCCTGCTATATACTCTAATCTTCTTTCTCAACAGTCGTGCCGTCTCGCTCAACACTACACATATTAAAGGACGCCGCCCTCTCTTTTTCCTTTCCATAGCGGCCCGATCGGTCCTCCGAAATAAATCTCCGACATGACACCGCAAATGCACACGCGTGCAACGGGAGAGTTACCGCAAAGATGTATTCTAGAATTAGCTAAGAGATAAACCCGCATCTGGGGTATATCTCGCTCCGATCATACGATCCTGCAGCTCTTTCGGCCTAAAATCCTAGAGGTGACGTCGCAGGTTGTATATTGGATGAAGTCATCGGGCTAAGGTTCGGGCAGTAATGCGGTCGTCTGCGTGTCATATGCAGGGCAATAGGAGGGAGAGAGGTGGTGTCACGTGGGGTAGGCTTATCTGGTGCTGTCACATGTGATTGGGGACGGCAGAGAACGGGTGAGTGAGTGAGAGACAATGCATTCGGAACTACAGAAACCATACGGTACGACCATGCGCGGAGGCATTCGCAACCGTGAAAACCGATAGACGCCGACGCCAAACCTATCCCAGGAGGTATTCAGTGACCTCTGACCCAGCCCATGCAAACTTCATAATGGTGCGCGTCAACCTTCAAGACCCCAACACCCAAAAAACCCAAACGCCAAAACCACCCCAGGAGGTCGTCGCTTTCTTCTGCATCGGTGCAGTGAAATGCTAGTACTCAGAAAGGAGGTTCTATCCACCCCCAATACTCCCTGCTCGCCTCCTCCTCCCTCTCCACCCTCTCCCTCTCCATCTCTTCCTGTGCCCATGTTGGGAACAGTACTGTCCTACACATAGGACAAGTGTTGCACCTCTCAAACCAAGTCATGATGCAGTTGGTGCCGAAAACGTGTCCGCAGGCGTTTAGCTTTGACACTGGTTGCTCTTCATTGGTGTGGTGGCTGTGAAGAGGCTTTGTGGATTTGAGCCAACTTGACTTGAAGACAATTGTGTTGGCTGGGTGTTGTAAGGCCAGTTCAAGGACTTCCTTGTCGGCGGCGGTGAGCTTGGTGGCCGAGGGGTTCTCGCAGGCCAAGTCTTTGGTGCAGATGCTGCACGTGTCTTGTTCGCTGGCGGGCAGGAGGTAAGGAGACATACCCGCAGCGATGAAGTCGGCCTTGCAGGCGTAGACAGGTGTGGTTGAAGACATGTTTGTTTGTAGTGTGGTGAGGTTGTGTTGGTAGGTGTGGTGGTAGTGTTGGTAATAGTGTTGGTAATAGTGTTTGAAGATAGTTGGGATGGAATGGTAAAACTTTCTTCGGATTTTGGACTTTGGATGTGATGGATGATGAAGAAAGGATAATGGAGAGAAGAGAGGGACAGAGCACTATTTATTGAGTTGGAAGCGTTTTTGTGACTCACACAGCACGTTGGTACTGAGTTAATTATTGAGTTGGAAAGCTATCTGCGACTCACGCTGCCCGTGGGTAATGAGTGGGTTTGCTGACCTTGGAGACCTCAGGAGTGGTGGTTACGTACTATCCGGAGCGCACGATCGCGCATTGTTCGCCGGAGCGCCATGCCGAACCTTAGATTTTCAGATAGCTGTGACTCAAGTCCATTGAAGGGCCTATGAAAAAAAGTCGTACTCATCACATGCCACGGAAGCCTAGAAGTCTCCACTGCGCTGAGGTTTCGCGGACTTTCGATTCGATACCAATGTGGGCTGCGGAAGTTCTGTTCGCTTCCTTCCATAGACGAGGTGCGGGTAAAAGTTCCGCATCAACGATGAACCAGATCTATTAGAATTACACCCACACTATAGCTCCTCAAACTTCTTGTCCCGTGCTGTGCTCAAGGCAGCAGTAGCACCAAATGCGATTCGACCCACATCATCTGTGGGTTTCTCGTCCCCGACGAACCCAGGGCACGCAGAAACAGTCTGCTTCCACTGCTTGTCCCCTTCGGCAGCGCTCAGAATATCAGCATGTGCCGTACCAGCCTTGACCACGAATTCTGCACCCAACCAAGGCATGAATGGCCTCATCCAAAAGGCGTACAGGGCAAGCACTAGTAATCCGAGAAGGTGAAGGCCGAGGAAAACGGACCCGGTGATGACCCCCCAAAGCGCGATATATGTCTTCTTGGTTGGAACGCCCGTATCGACATATACATTCCGCGATTGGTCGAATCCTCCCCATCTGTGGAATTGGCTCGGGTTCAGCCACTCCTTGTTGGCGAGGAAAGCGGCCACAGTGAACGCCCTACTTGCAGAACGTTCCGAATCAAAGAATGCAGCTAGTTGTCTCACGCGGCCAAGGACGTCGACTTCGGACTGGTAGTCGTAGTCGCGGAGGCACGGGCCCCCTATGGCAAAGTTGAGAGGCATATTCCCGAGGCAGTTGTTGCCGAAATTTCTGAACCATACTTCATCATCGACCTCAGGCCGATCTACAAGGAAGGCGGATGGATTTGAAACTCTTCTCTCGATGAAAGAGCCTTCGCCGAATAGTGCCAGTCCAATAGCAGTCAGCGGACCGATGTGATTTCCAATGGGTTGTCTCACATTTCCTGCGTATGTTTCGTTGGTTGCTCGTTTCTCATCTCGACTGGATCCGCTGGTTGAAGAGCCTCTAGCGCTGTCCAAGGATAGCTCATGGAGTAACGGCCCGGCGCGATTGCCGTTCTTGGTATTAGGAAGTTCGAAGTAGCCTAACGTCGAACGGGCGGTGATTTTCCACATAACAGGAGTGCGTAACGTTGAAGGCACCGAAATTGCGAGGAAAAGATCCTCGGTAATGTCCTGCCGGTTGTACGTAGCTTGCCAAGGCGTGCCAGAGATATTGGCGGGTATGCAAGCTATTATATCGAACTCCCGGTATCCCGTCTCTCCTCCACGGTATTGTGCGAAAAATACATCTTCTCTGTCGCGAACGCATTCGGTTGGCCACTCAGCGTCTGTCATGTTCCGGTATTCAATTGTGGTATTGAGGCGCGGTGCGTACTGAGGGTCAACATAGACACCGGTGCTGAAGTCCAAGGGAACGGGTGAGAACCAGGCATCTAAGCTCATCTCATCAAGTTGATAAAGACTCCTCGAGAAGCGGTTACAATTGGTGGCCACACTGAATGTATCGTAACACATGTCATTATCCAGTCCATCCTTCTGTTCATCGATCCAGAGGTAAGGCTCATGTTCTCTTTCCGCGCGCGATTCTAGAATGCTACGGAGTCGAACAACTGCTGTGTTTATGTCATTGTCGGTGCTGCTGATTAGAGCAGGTATATCAGCGACCCTAATCAGACCGGACTGTGTGCTGCGAGTTGGTATTCGTGTCGGAGTAACCTGGATAAACGTTGTCTGCAGAATCGGGAAGACAGCACCTGTATTCGAGTCAACACCGGCTTCCTGCCAAGATCTGGGCATGACTCACCCACTAAGGTCAATGCAAAGGCGAAGTACAATGGAAGACTTCCAACTTTAGACCACCTAGCCCACATTCTTGGGCTGATCCAGCCTTGATCTGCAAGCGCCATAGTCTGACGCAGATTCAACTTCGTTCTCGAGCTGCCAGCCTGGATATAGGCAGCGAAGGCTATAGAGCATATCGCTGAAGTGATGGGAATGGTGAGTAGGGCGACTACCGATTGCAGGATCTGTGCAGCCCTAAGGATCCTCTCGTGTTTAGCCAAGAGACGAGCTACATCTTTAAAGTAGTCTTGATTATCCGTATAGCTTAACTTGCTTCCAATCGGCCGGCTGCTCGCGACACAAAGAACGATCCAGGTAAATAGGGCGAGTGTAGCGTAAAAGATGAAGACCATCAGCGGCCAGAACGAAGTGTGGAGGGTCCTGACGATGGGCTCGCGAACGGTCATGGAAGACGCTCTCGACAGCCTCGACGTGTACATGGGCTCGTGAGTAGTTTCCGGGACCTTTGGTGCACTCGCATTTGCTTGTCTGGTCTCCTCGCTGACGCTGTGCATCTCATGCGACTCCCGTTGCTCCATGTTTGGTGTGATCGATCCGCCGGTAGGGAAGATGGGGAGTCAAGATTCCCGCTGTAAGGGATGTAGCGTAGATTTAATAAAGCATGCGGATGTTATCGTCTGACAGCGCGTAACTTGACTGCGCCGTCTTGGCTCTTGTCTTGGCGTGCAGTTTGTATTGAAGTTGGGGGCTAAGAGCGGGTGTCGGCACGAGGGAATGTGATCCTCCACCATCGTCGCACAGGGGCTCCAGAGGGAGGCATACTTGTACACCAAACGCAGTGCCAAACCCTTGTGAACCTATTCAAAGGCCAGCCCACAGATTAGTCAATGAGACATCATGGCGCAAATTCGAAGAGGGTCGTCCAACGCGTACACTTTTCGCGGCAAGTGCTGGTGTCTTATTTCCACCTCAGCCTTACAGGGCTGACTTCAGGCCTCCCACCACACCGGTAAAGGGTCCAGGCGAGGTTAGACGTCGTATAACCGACATACGACTCATTTCTTCGCGACCACTACTACGCCACGCACAACTCCGGTCCGCCCCCACCAGCCGAACATGGTTTTCGCGACACCAAAGCGACCTAAGCCTAATCCTAACATCTTGAGCCTGTCGTCTTGCTCTTTCAGGAATGCCGCCAGTGGCGCGAACACATGTTCTGAGATGTCAGTGATGGTGATGGCTTCAGGGTTGTATCCTATCTGCTCCAGCCTCTCGCGGTACCCCTGTGGTGTGGTGAAGTTCGCCCAGGGCGCACCCATGAGGGTAGTGAGAAGGCGAAGCGTCGTTCTCTGGGCCCATGTAGCGGTAGGAGAGAGACAAAGATCAAAACCCATCCAGCTTGCTTCTAGCTCTGAGTGGGCGTACTCAATGATGGGCCAGCGTGAGGGGGCGAAGTGATATGCTGTGTCTAGTGCCAACACCCAACGCTCGTCTGTGTCGTCCTTCGCATGCTGCAACTTTGTTTGCAGCTGTTTGTCCCAGGACTTGGGTTTCGACGCGTCGGCACAGAGGAGGGATATCGTGGGGGTTCCACCATCTTCCATCTCAGGAGATGCCGCCTTCGTCTCATTCTTCTTGAGCTCGTCAACTCGCTCCGAGGCGTATCGAGCCTGCACAGCATCTTTCGTGATGCCAATGTAATGTTGGTATGTGGCGCAGCAATCTCTTTCATCCCACCAGTCTTTGTCGCACGCTCGAATAGGTTCCTTGCACATGAGATAGATGGTTTGGTCCCCGCATCCGAAGCCCAGATCCACCAAGGCTCTTCTCCGTGCTGCTGGGCCTTTGTCGCTTGAAAGGCCAGCCTCAGCAAGGATTACGTTCAGCATGTCTCGACAGGCTTCGCTTAGTGTCGTTGAAGTGGTGGCGTTCTTCCAATACCCCATGTTCATCCACATGGCTGTGGGAAGCTGCAGATGTAGCCGCCCATGTTGCAGCCCGTAAACTGAAGCCTTGTCTTCTTGAAGCCCCCGCGCTCTCATCATCAGCCAAAACAGTAGGGTCGCAATCCCTGCGCCTAGTATCTGCGTAGCGAACATTTGTTTGGCGTGTGGTCGTGATTGGTGCGACGCAGAGTCGGGTGCTTGTGGGATTTCGCGGGAAGCTTCAACGATGCAATGACGCTAGCCGTTTCTGGCGAAATGTCTGACGAGACGCCATATGACGCGCACAACAGGAAGTCGCATCCTAGACCCGTCAATGCCGAATACTTTGACTTTCGTTCAAACAATCTTGGATCGCCTACATCACTTCCTGAGTCCTAGCATGCTAATGGGCATGTTGTCTTGCCCGGGTATCTACTCTATTGGATTACCTGCAAGGCTACGAAAGGACCAAAGGCAAGAGGATGCTCCATGCGTCACAATCCGGGTCCGAATGCGCTCGACTTCATGAATCACTGATGCCTCCAGGGCACCGCGACGTCGAACGCATCAGCCACTCGCATGGCCGAGACAACGCAGCCTTCCAGGAGGACCATACCGTCCCAACACCAGCCGCCCACGAGCCAAACATTGTCCTCGCCATTCCTCCACTGTGGCACTGACTTGTCATCTGTGTCGAAGTTCGAGCGCTTATCAAATATGGCATTGACGATGCGCTGGCTCTCCGGGCTGCGAAGAACGCGCGTGAACCGGCTCCGCTGAGCAACGCATTTCTCATCGAGAGGAGTGCATGGGCAAGTGGTTACTACGACGCCACATGGTTGGACATGATGT